TATCATTGAAGTAATACCAATGGGTATAAATGTGTGGTGATTAGTGACTGTTAATCGATAATTATTCAGAAATCGTGAGATGCGGTCTGGTGTGATGTAGGTTTCAGAAAAACATTTTCTTTATCGTGCCAACGTTTCGATCTTTATTGAGATCATCTTCAGGGCTCAAAGTGTTTGTCTTCTGTGTAATTCTGCCGGGCACTCTCAACACGACACGCAAGCATGGCACAATTACACAGAAGACAAACACTTTGAGCCCTGAAGATGATCTCAATAAAGATCGAAACGTTGGCACGATAAAGAAAATGTTTTTCTGAAACCTGCATCACACCAGACCGCATCTCACGATTTCTGAATAACTAATGGGTACTTTTTCTACTGCTTTTAATTTTGTAAATTCTGTATATATTACCTTACTCATTGCCACATGATACTTACTTGAAGATTGTAATGTAACAAATAAAAGAACATGGAGGGTTGATTAGACGTTCAGTTCAAACTTTTATGTTGTATAAACTGCATGAAACACAACACTTAATTGAGACTTTGAATTTTCATTAAAAACCCAATGATAAAGCCAAAATATAAAAAGGTAGGAAAATTATCCCGAAGCGTTTTAGTTGATTTAAACCTGCTTTGCTCTCCTTTCTAAAATATAAATATATAAATTGATTGAAGTTGAAGTTTTCGAACAGTATCGGCTTAATCTATACCGATGATCCTTTGGTTCATCAATCCTGGCCAATATTGTTAAACCCAAGTCCTTAGTCTTCTAAAGGTCAGGATCTCGCTCAGTTTCACTTTTGCCTGTATAATTCACAAAATCGCGGCTCGTAAAGTTGCCCAATCCGTTTCAGTAGGCGTCTACATTGGGAGTCACGAGGTCGCAAATTACACGACAGATTCGATAAATCAAACTGCCCTTAAATGTCTTCGATAACGCTAAATCAAATATTTATTTGGACTAAAATGTAAAGTTCAATTCAATTTATGCTGTTAAAGCCGGACGACTCACGATGCCATCTCTTCATTGGCCCGGCTGTCTCCTGGCCAAATTTGGTTGCTCAAAGGCAAAATAATTGCCATCCGAGCTTATAAAACGAGTGATTAAGACAGATAAACAGTGATAAAGACTATAGTTATAAAAAAAAAGAAAAAAGAATATCATACCCATATTGATCAATGATTTAATTAAAAAGGAGTAACAATAATCCAACCAAAAGTGAAATATCAAAATAACCTGAGTTTAAACTTATTTTTAAACAAAAACAAAGTAAAATCTTCTCTTTATTATAAAATTGCAACAGTTCTGGAACCTTGTACTCTTAAGAAGATATCTGTAAGTATTACTTTGAAGGCCTGCGGTTTGGTAGTAAACGAAGGCTAAATCTTATCTCTAGACCATTTATGTTTAGTGGTCTAGTTGACCATATTAATTATTTCAATTAATTATTCTTTTTATACAAGGTCTTGATGAAAAATGACAAAAAGACGGGAAATTCGAAAGGTTTTTGGTTGAGATTGGTTAGAACAGCGGCGTATTGAGCCGAGGGTCAAGGGTTCGAATCCCGCTCGTCACACTGACTTTTTTATCCCAACGAATACTTTGCATAAAGATTAATTAATTGAAAAAAGTTATTCGGTCAATCGGACCACGAACTCTAACGAATATATTTACAATGATAATAATAAAACATAAATACACATAAGCTTGAATATTGATAAAGTTAAATTATACCACAAATTCTCGCACCGTATACAATGCAACATTTCGGCGTCCTATCGACCATTTTATTACCGCTCGTTTGAAAACACTAACTTTTTCATCTCAAACAAGACCTTATCTCTAGTATTTATAATTTAACTAAAACAACATATATAAACTTTTTTTTAATCTTAAGCAACTGCATAATCAATACATTGAAAAATTATAAAATGTAGATTTAAATCTCAGATACGGAAAAACACTGTAAATATCCAATTAATTATTCCTTTTATCTAAGGTTTTTGGTTTAGATGAAAATTATGACCACTAATGTAGTAATTAATGCAATTTAAATACCTTTTAGCTAAAACAATTTGCAATCCCAAGTTTTACGCTTAAACCTCGGAGAAATTACCCTTTTGAACAAATTTAATGCTCCACTCAATTTATTTGTAAAACCTTAAATTTAAGCTTTAGGCTCGGGCAACAATTTTTTTTAATATTTCAAGCCTTACTTCTAGGCTGAAGCCTTAAACTTTCGAGGTTATCGCATAAATGGGATCAGGCTAAGACCCTGATGTTATGCTGTACGTTTGTACTATGCGAGCGATATGCGGACGGGCATTGTCGTACATTAGAATAGGATCGTCGCTGATTTCATCGAGGATATGCCACGCATCCTGTTCCAAAATTTCATCCACATAGCGAGTATCCGTCAAAGAACAAAAACCAACTTTATACGACTTTCCATTAAAAGCTGAGCTACATTGAAAAGCTCTGGGAAAAATTACTGACTTCGTACTTTTCATTTCGCCTTTCTTTCACGCCCATCTGGATATCATAGAGCAAATCTACACTCATCTGTAAAAATTACAGCAGACTAATCATCCAAAGACCTTTGGCTGTGATCTCTGTGTGTTCTGGTCCATTCTGGTTCTCTTACGGGGCGAAAAGCCATCAGCCCGAACTGATTTAATCTTCTTCGAGCAATGCGTTCAGAAATTTGGACATCTGGAATTTCCTGGAGCTGTTGAATCGCGTGAACAACAGTAAAGCCAGGAACACACTTACCCGATGCTACCCGACTCCGATTTTCCATAAGGTTGCATACCCCCGTGCACATCTACCCGATGCTATGCCACTGTCCAGATTTTCGTCGGGTCGCATCGAGTACAGTTGAAGACAAAAGAACTGGACACTCATATTTTTATTCAAACTACATGTATTATTCTCGTTATATTAATTACAACATACTTATTTTAATATAAACCAAATTAACTGTGATTAAAAATTAATTAGTTTTTATTTAAAAAATTAATTTTAATGGTTTGGTAGAAAATTAATCAAAACACCTGAATACGATTTTTTAATATAATGAATTTAACTAACAATTTATTACAAGGTTTTGCTCAAAATAGTGCATTAAGAACAAAAGATGCGTTGCGATTGTGATTATTGTGACTGTACGCGACGTGTGCTTGCGTCGGATAGATGTGCACACCCCACCAAAACGTGGCAAGGCGTCGGGTAGCATCGGTAGCGTCACATAGCGTAGCATCGGGTAAGTGTGTTATTTTTTGTAGTTTATTTCAAACTAAGTACATGTAATTTTGTCGTTATATTAATTACAACATGTTATTTTAATATAAACCAAATTAAACGAGATTAAAAAAGCATAAGTTTTTATAAACATTGTTTAATTACGATGGTTAGGAGTAACTTTATTTAAAACAATTAAGTTTAACAAACAATTTATTAGATGGTTGTGCTCATAAAATTTAACTAACAATTTATTACAAGGTTTTGCTCAAAATAGTGCATTAAGAACAAAAGATGCGTTGCGATTGTGATTATTGTGACTGTACGCGACGTGTGCTTGCGTCGGATAGATGTGCACACCCCACCAAAACGTGGCAAGGCGTCGGGTAGCATCGGTAGCGTCACATAGCGTAGCATCGGGTAAGTGTGTTCCCGGCTTAAGGTGCCGGTTTCGTAAAATTCTGAAAGCCAAAAAACGCTCATCCTCTGGTTCTGCTAACTTCGGGCGTCCAGAACCGGGCCTTCTATGGTAGAATCCAGTTTCTCGAAGATTTCTCGCAGAATTTCGTAGGGAACTCCGATGGCAAAAGCCGCATACCTGATGGAACGTTCCGTAATTGCTTTTAGGCGAAAATCAACGTAAAAACCCTTTTAGACTGTAACATTAGCAGTAGGCAAAGACCTCTAGTAGGAGTGACCTTTAGAAGAGTAATGTGCATTGGGTTCGCAATTTGTCAGAATTAATGGACTAAGGAATAATCAGTACTAAATGAGAAGCAGTTAAACCTGTCTAAATTTTTAACCACTTGCCTTGTTCAAACTTCTTCGTGTATTATAAAAACCCTAAGATTTGTGCCGGCATCACTCTTCTTTGTTAAGGATCGCAGGATTAATCTTGTGTTGGAATTTTTCTTTTATTGAAACTTTCTAAATAGGCGTTTTCATTTTAAATTAAAAGATATTCACGGCCATTATATATAGAAAAAAAAAAATAACTCGTGTAAACTGCCGATTCTTAGAGCGTTGCGTCATCCCTCTGTATAGCTAGAAAGCCGTGTAGTTCTTCCAACAGGAATGCAGAGCCATTTGAGCCGTGAAACAGCTGTTCTTAATCCGAGGAACTGTTGTTGAAAATGTAAAAAGAAAATTTTGCCTTCGAATTTGTATTACAAACATAAATATTATATTAATTTATGAAATTCGACGAATAAATATATAAATCGCTCAAGAAGGGGCGGGATTAGATCTCAGGGACCCTGAATTTGGTCCCAACCCTCTTCAAAAATGAGTTTCTTCGGTGGAAGTACACCGGGGGCTCAAATTCACACTCGTGTTGCGAACCCCAAAAATGGAGTCAGGGATAAAGCACAATAAGCTGTACAGCTGCTGCGCTCAAGGGGAACTCCTCCAGTTGCTGGTATCAATTGGGGGGGGGAGAGAGAGAGAGAGAGAGAGAGAGAGAGAGAGAGAGAGAGAGAGAGAGGAGAGAAATGGCGAGAGGGAGAGAAAGTGCGGGAGAGAGAGGGGGAGAGAGAGGGAGAGAGAGTGAGAGAGAGAGGAGAGAGAGAGAAAGGGAGGGAAGAAAAGAGAGAGAGAGAGAGAGAGTGAGAGAGAGGAGAGAAAGTGCGGGAGAGAGAGAGAGAGAGNAGAGAGAGAGAGAGAGAGAGAGAGAGAGAGAGAGAGAGAGAGAGAGAGAGAGAGAGAGAGAGGATCAGGTCATTACATACATTTTTCTAAATAATACAATAATAAAAAATAGGTTTAAATATTTATTATTTTGTTTCAATAATGGAAATCAATAGTCGTACTTATCAGTATGGTCTTCGTAGTCTTTTTCTTTTGTCACTTTGACTTTGACTTTGACGACCGGATCGGAGATCTTCACCAGGCCGGGTATGACTTTTATTTTGGGAGGTTCCAGTTTGACAACTTTGTAGTGATGGTGATCGTGGTAGTCGTCGTGATGGTCTACATGGTGGTCATGGTGATCGTCGTGATGGTCTCCATGGTGACCGTGGTGATCGTCGTGATGGTCTAAATGGTGGTCGTGATGATCATCGTGATGGTCTCCATGGTGACCGTGGTGATCGTCGTGATGGTCTCCATGGTGATCGAAGTGGTCGTAAACTTTGACGAAGTCGTAATGAGGCGGTTCGGGCTTATGGGTCATCGCAGGTTGTCTTGGATTAATCAAATTGTACAGTAGTAACGGAAGCAGAAATGTCCCCCTGGAGCAGGCCAGATAGCAAAAAAGAACTACCTGAAATCAAAATAAAATATTTATTAATGGACAAAAACTATATTATCATAAATTTATATTATTGTTATTGTTATTTATCCTTCAATAGGTAGTTTTTTTGTGAAATTGTAAAAATATAATTTATGAAGTATATAATTCAGTTTTCATACTGAAAGCTAATTGGTATTTTAAACTCATTTAAAGCTTTCTTGTCAGACGAGAATACTTCCAAAATCGTTATTTTTGAGTTAGTGGCAAATTCTTCGTTTTTGAATGAAACTCGTGTATAGTGCCCCCCCCCCCAAAAAAAAACTTTTGAGCAAACGGTACCGAAATAACTTAATTTTGACAAAAAAATAACCTATGTGCGCAAAACCTCATTTAAAACCTATGTTTTATACTAAAATTCGCGTAAAAATTTTTTTTTATGCCGAAAGTTATTCGCAAATCCTTAGTTGAAGATTAAACCCTCCTGAGAACATTGATTAGGCAAAAATCAATCGAAAATCTTTTTGCAAGCTAAAACATTTATTTGAAAAGCCTTAAATTTTGGTTGAAACCTCAAGGAAAAATTATTTTTTGTAAAAAGAATTTTTATGCTTCCTTTTTTACTTGGAATTACCTATTTAGGCTTATACCTCAGGCAACAATTCTTTTTAAACAAAGACGTTTGCAAATACTTTTTTAAACTAAAATATATATTTACAAAGCTTTTATTCTTGGCTTAAACTTCACACAAAAATTATTTTTAAGCCCTTGCAAAACCCTGTTTTAAACTAAAATATTTCTTTGCAAAACCTCAGTTCTAGGCTTATATCTCAGGAAACAATTCTTTTTAAACACAATCCAGCATAAAACTGTTTTTATGCTAAATAGATTAGCCTAAAAAATTGATTACAAAACGTTAGGAAAAAATTCTTTTAGGTAAAAATCAATGGAAAAACTTTTTTTAGGCGAAATAGTTTTTGTAACCGTTAACATGGCTTAAATCTCATGGAACGATTCTTTTTATGCAAAAGCCTATATAAACCCTTTTCTTAGGCTAAAACATTTATTTGTAAATGCTTATTTCAAGGTTTCAACCTCAACAATCATTTGTAGGTAAGGACCAACGAAAACCTTTTTTTTGGGGGGATTAAATATTTATTCGAGGATTCTTAGGTTTAGGCTTAAACTTCAGGCAACAATCCTTTTTAGATAAAAATCAATGGGAAATCTTGTTGTAGGATAAAATAATTATTTTCAAAACTTTAGATTTAAGCTTAACCCTCTGGAAAAATTATCTTTAGGAAAATTTAACGTAGAACATATTTTTGGCTAAAACATTTATTTGCAAAGCCTTAGTTGTCCGTTTCAACCTCAGACAACAATTCTTTTTTGGCAAAATTCAATGGAAAACTGTTTTTGGACTAAAATTTTTATTTGCATACCTTAGATTTATGCTTAAAACTTGGGCAAAAATCAATTTTAAGTTAACACCACTGAAAAAAAAAACTATTTTTATAAAAAGTTTACGTAAAAAACCTCAGTGGAAAGATTAAACCTCAGGCAATAATCATTTACAAGTTAAAACCACTGAAAAATTTTTTTTATAAAAAGTTTATATAAAAACTTTATTTGAAGGCTAAAACCTCAGGCTACACTTATTTATAAGTTAAAACCACTGAAAAAAACCGATTTTTATAAAAAGTTTAGGTAAAAACCTTAGTTGGAAGATTAAACCTCAGGCAACAATAATTTATAAGTTAAAACCACTGAAAATTTTTTTTAATAAAAAGTTTAAGTAAAAAACCTTAGTTGAAAAATTAAACCTCAGGCAACAATTATTTTCAAGTTAAAACCACTGAGAAAAAAATTTATAAAAAGTTTATGTAAAAAACCATAGTTGTCAGACAAACCTCAGGCAACAATTATTTATAAGTTAAAACCACTGAAAAAAAATTATAAAAAGTTTATGTAAAAAACCATAGTTGTCAGATAAACCTCAGGCAACAATTATTTATAAGTTAAAACCACTGAAAAAAAAACAACCATTTAAAAAAAAAGTTTATGTAAAAACCATAGTTGGAAAATTAAACTCAGGCAACAATTATTTATAAGTTAAAACCACTGAAAAATTGTTTTAATAAAAAGTTTAAGTACAAAACCTTAGTTGAAAGATTAAACCTCAGGCAACAATCATTTTTAAGTTAAAACCACTGAAAAAAATATTTTTATAAAAAGTTTATGTAAACAACCTTAGTTGACAGATTAAACCTTAGGCAACAACCATTTTTATATTAAAACCACTGAAAAAAACAAACTATTTTTATGTTCCTATAAAAAACCTTCTATGAAAAGCCTTTTTTTAGATTAGAAGATTTCTTTGAAAACCCTTATATTATGTTATATATTTGCCTTATATTTATGTTCAAACATGAGCAATCAAAGTAAAAAATTTAAAATAATTTAACAACATATTACTTGTATTAATTATTTTGTATAAGTGCATTTTAATGGGCAAGTTATGAATATTAAGAACGTGCAAAATAAAAATAAAAATAAAAAATAATAAAAAATTAAAAGTAAAATATAAAACAAGCTCTCCCACTTTTTCATAATCACCCTATCTCGACCCTTTCACTCCCTGCGTCTGTTTGTGTTTATAAATTTCAGAGTTACATGAATCTGTTACATCTTATGTACTCAAATCATGACAATAAAATGCAAGTTAAAGTTTTTTTGGTTATTATTTTTTAATACTATTAGAAAATATAAACAAGTTTGAATTTTTAGCGATTGAATTGGTCACGTGCTAAATATTGAGTGTAAAAAAGTGTTTTTATAGCCAAAAATGTCCCAGATTTACACAAAAATTCCCATTATATTTCAAAATTTCCGCTGGAATTCTAATTTCCAGAGAGAAAAAAAATTCGTGGAAAATATTCTACAATATGTGTCAATTCCACGTCTAATAAAACCAAAAACCGGTCCAGAATCCGGGTACAACTGGAGGTCAGTTATACACTAAAAGGTAAAAAAAAAAAAAAAAAATCCGGTTGGATGTTCATATCCCAACTAGTTTTGCCCGGGACCTATGAAATTCCTCGACGGGAAAAGAAGCGAAGGATTAAATAAAATAAAAGTCAAAGCGTTCACTTACCAGCCACTTCATCGCGTCTGCCAGACCGAAAGTGAAAACTCTCCCTTTTAAAGAATAAAAGCACAAAACGGAGATGGCACGATTTCCTCTCGGCATCCTTAATAAATGAGCAGTGACAAATATAATGACTGAAATAAAAATTTCATAACGCCGGGTTTTTCTTCGTACATTGTTTGAACAAATTGCCAAAACCCGAATATCAGAAATTCCACCACAAGAAAATCAAATTTGAAGGAATATTTTCTTAATTTGGAAATCCTCAAAAAAGGAGGAAACTTGAAAGTGTATCGGGAGTTTCACACGCTTTGAGTTGTCTGGATATTAGATAAGTTCTCATGAGCCGAAAAATCGTTTCTCACCAATTAACGACTCGGCGGTACGCATTCGTAAAATCTTTACGAAATAAAAACAAAAAAAATTTCCATCTGACTCACGATGAAAGTTAATATTTTAAAAATCGTTGGGTAATATCTGAAACAATTCATCGTAAGTAGGGCTTTGGTAATAAGCAAAAATGTTCTGCAGCATGACACAGTCGACCACGACCTTGCTCCTTCAGACTGACGATTATTTCAGCCTGCGGTTTACAACTACAACAAAAAAAATCAAGGTTCAAGAACATCGATCTTACTGACAAAAAAAATACTATAAAGAGTTTGAAAATAATACCAGATATATTTATTTTAACAGGATTTTACATAAATAAGTAGAAAAAACAAACTATACATGCATTAAATATTTCCAATAGACAAAAAATTTAATTTGCAATACAACAAAAAAAAAATAATAAAAATCAAATAGTCAATGCATCAATGGATGTTCGCAATTAATCATTTATCACAAAAGAATTTGACCACTGAGAATTTGAAAAATTATTCAGCTGGCAACACATGACCTCAAAAGTGATCAGACATAATTCATATATACATAATTAATTTTTATGTAAGGTATTGGTTGAGATAAAAAAGACAGTGTCACGAGCGGGATTCGAACTCACGATCTTCGGCTAGAATTTATTTGGTCAATCAGACCACGAAACCTCATAGATTTAAACTAACTTTAAAACATAACCTGTATTAATTTACTATAAAACTGAAAAAATTAATTAATTGAAAGAAGTTATTTGGTCAGTCGGACCACGAAATATAATGTGTATAATACATAATACACAATTACATAAGTACAATTAACACAGAAGAATTTATTTACAAACAACAACAAAAGAATCAAATTATACAACACAACATTTTAGTACATAAAGTAAAATGATATCAATAGATATCAAGGTAAATAAATACATATAATAAGAAAGATAAATACAAAATTCACGCGATAAATAGTACATAAGGAGTAGTTCTTTCAGGATTAAGAATAGGACATACGCGGTTGACACATAGCCTTACTAGTGGGCCAATCCCCCCGCAGGTGTCCGTTATGCAGAGAAAGGTTGCTCGATGTGGAAGCGTGTCGTGCCTTGGCTCCCTGCAGAGCGCGAGTAGGCATGCCGCCAGATTTAAACAGGGTTCTCGGACATAGCAGCGATTTTCAGGATCCAGTATTTCGCTTTTTAAAGGAATTGGGAATTTTTTATTGTATATAGAAGTAAAGTTATGTGTTTTGTGTTTGTGTGTCTTGTATGAGTGAATGTATTTATAGGTGTGAATGGGTAGGGGATGATGGCGAAGTAGTTTCTCCATCGCCTCTCAGGTTGTGTGGTTGACTTGGGCTGATGGCGGAAAGTTTATAAAAATACCCCATCCACCCCAATCTAGATTGGTTTATTATAGGGAAAAGGTGGATGGAGGAATATCAAGTACTCCATCTACCAAGTGCGATGGATATATATATATATATATAAATAAATAAATATATATATATATCCATATGAATGTATTTATTGGTGTGATTGTGTATAGAGTGTGTACGGGTACTTTGTTAGTGCTCGGGGCTGAAATGACCAAGCTGTCGGATGCCCCTGTCAAAAAAAAGTACATATAATAATTATTTCCTATGGAGAAACGAGATAAAATAATAATTATTCAACAGGCACTTTAACCCAAAGAAGTGAAAATCAATAATACTGACAGTTAAGAAAATCCTGAAAGGAATCAACCGAGCCATTTATGTTAGTGTATGTTTATGTACACGGGCGTATGTGCATCTGTATTATGTGCTCATGCATGTTAAAAAAATTGATAAATAAGTGATATTAATATCAATTTTTTCCTGTCAAACTAAAATATTTTTACCTACAGATAAACTTTTTTAAATTTCAAATTAGACCTTTTTCACTTCAAATTAACCCTTTTTAGATTTCATATTAACCATTTCTTTAAAACTTTAGAAAACTTAGGAGATGGCATGAAATATAAGCATGAAAATTAAAATGCCTATATTTGCGATTTTTTTAAATATAAAACATTTGTTATTTATTCAAATTATTGCTTTCAGAAAGACTATGCAAATAATTACGATTAATTAAGGTTTTCAGTTGAGATAAAAAAGTCAATGGCACGAGCGGGATTCGAACCCTCGATCTTTGGCTTGATACGCCATTAATTGGTCAAGCGGACCACGAAACTAGTGAATTTAATAAGTTTAAAATGAAGTATACTTCACTAAAGCTCTCCGTGACCATTTCATTTGTCGCCGAGAATCAAATAGATTACACGACATTTGAAAAATGGCAAAAAGGAGGGAAATTCAAAAGGTGCGGTTGAGATGGGAAGTTGGTGTCCGAGTGGATCGAGGTCACGATAGCTCAAGTGGTAGAGCAGCGGCGTATCTAGCCGAAGATCGTGGGTNAAATATATATAACCTCTGCTGTTGCGAACCTCTAAATATTTTTAAATTTTAAATTAACCCTTTATTTAAAGCGTTAAAAAATTTGGAGATGGCTTGTAATATAAGCATATAAAGTCAAATTCCGGTATATTTGCGATTTTTTTAAAAATATAAAATATTTAGGCGTTTCGAAGACCACATTAAAATTAATTACAATTAAATTAAAACTTATATAAAATTAAATGTGTAATTATTTTACGCCAAATTTACCCTTTTGAACAACAAATTAAACTTTTTAAATTTTAAATTAACCCTATCTTTAAAGCTTTAGAAATTAATTTTGTTTAAATTTTTCTTAATTTTTAGAACTTTATTAGTAATTAATTTTTATGGTATATTATGGGTCTTTCAAGAGCGCAATTATTTTATATTCTAGAAAAATTAGGAGATATACAGGAATTTTACTTCACGCGCTTACATTTCATACCATCTCCTAAATTATTATTATATTTAATGCTTTAAAGAAAGGGCTTTTTGAAATAGCAAAGGCTTTTTGGAACATAACAAAGGTTAAATCGAAATTTTAAAAATTTTTTATTTGAACTTGAGAACGGTTAATTTGAAGTAACAAACAGTTATTTTGACAGAAAAGAGCTACGGTGTTTTCTTTCTCTCAGTGTAATATTTATAAATATTAATTTATAAATATTTACACATTAAATAAAGGAAACGAAGGCGGAAATGTAAGTTGATGAAGGAAAAGAAACTAAAAAAAAAAAAAATAAATAAATGTTTATACATATAATAATGCCCATGAACGACAAGTTTAACAATTAATCATCCTATAGGCAAAAAAAAAATACCAAGAAAGATCACATAAGTAGCACATATAATAAATATCGTTAATGAACAAGGCTAAACATTAATTTATATAGCATAGTAGGAACCAATTTAAAAATAACTAAATTGAACACATAATAATTAATTCAAATAGAGCAAGTTATACAGAAATAATAAATAATATTATTAGACAACATGGTTGATTATTTTATGAAGATAAATTACCAGGAAACAAACATGACATATTACATGTAATAAACATTATGTTACTACTCTCGACATGTTTGTATATCTATCATTATAATAATATGATGTGGAATTGTTAAAACACAACGAGAAAATTGTACAGAAGAAATTTTCATGTTGGAGTAGTTTCGTAAATTTAGAAGTTTTTAAAATTCCTATTCATGAAAATGCTGAAGTCTTTCTTTTTGTTCAAGATTAATACCATAAGGCTGTAAATGCGCGGTTATCTATTGGCTCTGTCAGTTATTTCAAGGTTCGTACATGGCTTTCCATGTGTTCATAAATAAGGGTCCGCGCTGGCTGTTTATCCGTGATTTACGACTCTTCGAATATCATATTCTTAATGACATTTAAGGTGGAAACAAACAGGATGGCATACCGATTCATTACAGCGCTGACATTTCAGACCGAAGGCGTGGCATTTTATATGATTCTGTTCGATATTCAGTTAAAAGACAAAAATAACGGACACTCGTATTTTGTTGTTATTTCCAGTTTTATGTATGTATTTTTATCGTTATTTTTAATTGCAATTGTTTTAAGAAAAAAATCTCCAAAATACGAGAAAATCATTCAGTAATAGATTAACATTTACATTATACATGTACGTTAATATATAGTACACAGTAGTAATACAGAGTAGGGAGATTAAAAAAAAAATAGAAAAACAAAGAGTGAGAGAAAGAAAAGAAGAGAAATAGATAGATAGATTGATGTTTTTAAAATAATTAATCAATTGTTTTTAATTTTACATATTATTTTAGTTATTTAGAAAATATATACTAGAGAATAGTTATTTAGAGATTAATATAATATATATTATTGTGTAAATACAATAATGTATATTATTATATTTTATCAAAGAGAGAGAGAGAGAGAGAGAGAGAGAGAGAGAGAGAGAGAGAGAGAGAGAGAGAGAGTGTGTGTGTGTGTGTGTGTGTGTGTGTGTGTGTGTGAGTGTGTTATTTAAAAAATCAATTCTCATATTTTTTGGCTTGTAAAGTTATAAGCCAATATGTATTTATTTACGTAAAAAACATTGAATAACAGTAAAAAGAAAAAGTAAAGAAAACAATATAAACTTTAGCAATAATTTTTGATAGTCATGCCTTTAAATTAATTAGCCAATTAGTTTTTAATTTTCCATATTATTTTAGTTATTTAGAAAATATAACTTGAGAATAGTTATTTAGAGCATATTATGTAAA